TTGGTATTATTCTCAAATATTTAATTAAGATAAAAATTAAAAAAAAATGTGCACTTATTTTGTAAAAGGGAAAATGGTTAGAGTGATTTTTCTAATGACGTGTCATTAAGATAGAAGCGGGAACAATTGAGGGAGGCTGGAGTTGTTGTAGGGGATTAGCATAAAGTCACGTCACAAAAATTAATGGATTTTCTGTTTTGTAACTATTACTTTTAATAAGCGGTCCCCTGTTGAACTGGCACGTGAGGGTTAGTGGCATAACTACGGTGTATTTTTTTCCCCGTCAGGGTTTAAAACCTACCCTTACAAAATACGTTCAAAAAAAAAAAACAAAGCGGTCCCTATTTAATAAACTCCATGTCCCCCTTTTTTTAAAAAAAAAAAATCAGAATATTTTTTGATGGTAAATATTGAATTCCATCACAATATCACATTCACACCTCAGAAAATGATACGTAAATACAGTTTTGAGATTTAGCATCATGAATTGGTAGGATGATATTCTTTTAAGATAATGATATTTTGTGTTTTGTTGGAATCTCATTTTCTCCCTTTCCCTTTCCAGCTTTTTGATGCCTGCCATTTTTTATTTTATTTTATTTTTTTTTTTTTGCGGTCTAGTTTAAAATTGGGGAAAAAAAATGTTTATTGATTGCAATTTTTAAAATTCAGAAACCAGCTCATCCATTCCAAAAAAAAATAATGTTTGTTTAATAAATTTTTTGCAACATTTATTCTAGAAATTTTTTTTTTTTTTTTATGATTGAAGTTGAAGGATTTATTATCACCATTTACATAGGTTTTTAACAAGAAATCTCTAAAGTAATTAACATGTAAGCAGTATTTTAAACTAATTAATTAAGAAAAGGCCAATCATAATTATATATTTTTATTATTAATAATTGAGATATATTATAATTTTTTTTAGTAAAAAGACAATTGACTTTAAAAAAGTATATGCCAAAAAGTGAAAAAAAAAATTGAGTAATTTATAATAGGGAGATTGATTGTTTTGATTTTTGTGTAAAAATTATGGACGGTAATTAGTACGCCCTATATTTCAACACTTGGTTCAACGCTTTTCAGTTTAGTCATTAAAAAATTATTATTTTTTAGTTTAAAATTAAAAACAAATAAGTATAATGATACAATCATACACATAGGATACAAGAACCGACTGAATTGACTGTATTTATATTATATTTTTAATGACTAAACCAAAATATATTAAACCAGATGTTGAACCAAGTATTGAATCAAAAAAATGTACCAACCATTTGCCAAAAATTATATATAAGAGTTTGTGTATAAATTGATACCAACTCCTTTGTACATATAGGGTAGAAGCTAATATGTTATTCTTTCATCACCTTACTTAATTTATGTGAAGTTTTCTTAATTTATGATTCTTACCTTGAACATAAGGCTTTTGTAAAATAGACAATTAGATTTATTTGGAGATGCCATAATATTTTATAAAAAAAATATTATGTTTCTCAAAATAAATAGAAATTAAAGGTAAAAAAGAAAAAAAGAAAGAAAGAAAGAAAGAAACAGAATTTTTAGATGACTCCTAACTGGGGTGGCTATGGGTTGGAGGAAATGGCTTTTGTTCCACCCAAAATTTGGAGGAGAAAATAATAGAAAAAAGACAAAGGATAAAAAGGAAAAAACCAAAAAGCAAGATGCTTTATCCTTTTTGTTAGATTATTGCAATGAAGAAATTGAAAAAGGAATATAAAAGGAGGGTCAGAGTCGGTGGGCTATTGCTTTGTCAGCATGGAGACAAAAAAGGTCGTTTGAGATAAGAAATTTATTTGACACCAAAATAAAAAATAATGGGGACACTAAGCCATCTTCAATTATGCATGCATACACCTTGTTGTCATATATAGCAATATGCTTTCCTACGCAGCATAAGTAACTCCCATTTCTTGAAATTTTGCTTGTTGAGTAATTCAATAAAATAATTAATCATACACACAAAAAATCATTTTAGATAGCATTTGAGTCTTTAATGATATACTAAAAGTAGTTGATGACATAATATAAACCTTATCAATTGAAGGAGAAAGGTGAGCATATATATGAGTAAAAAGATGGTAATGAACAAAATAAAGGCACTAAATGGCTTCAAATGAAAATGCAAGAACCAATTTTGCACTTGTTGGGATCCAGTTAAACTGTTTTGGGTTGGTGGTTGCCAAAGATTGGTCCTTTTTTGAGTATAACATGATTGTTTATTTATGAAAAAGGTGGGAACTTTTCGTGTTCTTCAGGCATTAGAGCACATAAAATGGTGGTCTGCGGTCCAATTGCACTCTGAAATCATCAAAGCTGATTATGCAAATGACAGCTTATTCCCTTTAAAGTTCAAATCTTTATATGCATTTATTATTGAAGATGCACACAAAGTCTTTGATAAAATGTCTCAATGAACCATGTGAATTTAGAGTTTTATTATTATAAGTTATTGGGTCAAGATTGCTTGGAGTTTAAACACTGGGCTTTTTTAATATGTATCTTTATGACATAAGTTAAGAGTATTTTTTTTATTATAAATACACATAAAAAATGTAAAAATTGATATTAATTTTAGTGTTAGTGCTAAATTGGTGAATTTAATTAAATAGTTAATAAATTAAAGGTTGATTTTTATTTTTCAACTAAAATTTATAACAAAAAATACATTTAATACACCATTAACGTTTACCTTAAAGATACAAGTTATACAAATCCTTAAACACCACAATTTGGATTTCTTTTTTTCTATCACCCCAACTTGGATAGTTGATGTAAGGGTTGAATTGCCTATTCCTTCCATTAATAGTTAAAACTTAAAAATAGTATGAAAAGGCAGATTGCACTACAATATTCTCATTTTTATTCAATTATTTTTATAACATTCAAGAATATAAAATTTAATTATTATATTTTGTAGATGAGAAGATATATCGGAAAAATAATTATCAATTTATCATTTCCATCATCACTTCCCCTCATTCAAATGTTCAAAGGAAAGAAAAGTTGAATAAGGATTCAATATAAATAATTTTAAAAGTTACGGATATAATTACATATTACAATACTGGAGATCTGTAGGAACTATTATAAAATTCGAAAAAGCTTACTTTAGTCCTCAAACTTTTAGTCGCTCTCAATTAACTGCTCCCAAAACCTTAAACCCTGAAAGTGCTCTGTTATGAATACTCGAGTTGGCGGTGTGAATACTGGCACTATTTTAGGATCTCTTCGTTATGAAAAGGAGAGATCTTTTCGTTGATTTGTTCAGAGCATGTAACAGTGGCAAATCAGCGACCCAATTGCACTCTCAAATCCTCAGAACTGGGTTTGCTTATGACAGTTTCTTTGTCACAAAGCTCAACTCTTTGTATGCCAAATACACATCCATCGAGGAGGCGTACCAACTGTTCGATGAAACGCCTCAAAGAACCGTGTATCTATGGAATTCAATGCTTAGGAGCCATTGTAGAGAGAAACAATGGAAAAGAACTTTGCTTTTGTTCAAGCACATGTTATCTGATAAATTCAAGCTGGAACAAAGGCCTGATAATTTTACGGTATCCATAGTGTTAAAGGCGTGTGCCGGGTTGAAGTGGCTCAAACTGGGCAAAATGGTACATGGGTATGTTAAGAAAGATCAAAAGATGGCATTAGACATGTTTGTGGGTGCTGAGTTAATTGAATTGTACTCAGAATGTGGAAAAATGGGAGAGGCACTGAAAGTTTTTCAGGAGTTTCCAAAGCCAGATGTTGTTTTGTGGACTATAATGGTGACTGGATATGAGCTGAATGGCTATCTAGAAGAAGCAGTGACATTTTTCTCAAGAATGGTGGTGAAGGAGGGTATCAGCCCTGATCCTGTAACGCTTATAAGTTTAGTATCTGCTTGTGCGCAGTTGAGGCATGGTATGCTTGGTAATTGTGTGCTTGGTTTTGTGATTAGGAGAGGGTTTGAAGCTGATATATCATTGACTAACTCGTTGTTGAATTTGTATGCCAAGTCAGGTTCTGTTAAAATTGCAGCCAACTTATTTAAGTGGATGATAGAAAGAGATGTTGTGTCATGGAGCTCAATGATTGCGTGTTATGTTCGTAATGAGGCTGCAGTTAAAGCATTGGAACTTTTCAATGAAATGATCAACCAGGGAGTTGAACCAAATGCAATTTCTATGGTTAGTGGGCTACAAGCATGTGCATTGGCTTGTAATTTAGAAGAGGGAAAGAAAATTCATGATCTTGCAGCTAAGAAAGGTTTTGATACAGATGTTTCAGTTTCTACAGCTCTGATTGATATGTACATGAAGTGCTTCTCTACTGATGAAGCTGTTGATGTCTTCAGAAAAATGCCATGGAAAGATGTGGTGTGCTGGGCTGCTTTGTTAAGTGGGTATGCTCAGAATGGAATGGCTTACATGTCAATGGGAGTGTTCAGAGACATGCTATCCAATGAAACTCAACCTGATGCTGTTGCCATGGTAAAGATTCTTTCGGCTAGTTCAGAGCTGGGCATTCTTCAGCAGGCTATCTGCCTTCATGGTTATGTAATTAGAAGCGGCTTTGAAAATAGTGCTTTTGTTGGGGTTTCACTTATAGAGTTGTACTCAAAATGTGGTAGCTTATGTGATGCAGTCAAAGTTTTTGAAGGTATTTTTGATAAAGATGTTGTTATCTTGAGTGCTATGATTGCTGGGTATGGAATGCATGGTCAAGGACGAGAAGCGTTGAAATTATTTGATTGGATGGTTAAGAGCTCTGCGGCAAGTCCTAACAATGTGACATTTCTATCACTTTTATCTGCCTGTAGCCATTCTGGCTTGATTCAGGAGGGTATTAATATTTTTGATATTATGGTACATGAATACAAAGTGGATCCAAGTTCTGAACATTGTGGGATATTGGTTGATCTTCTTGGCCGTATTGGAGAGCTAGACAAGGCCATGGACATTATCAAGCAAATGCCCACTCCAGTTCAGCCCCATGTTTGGGGTGCCTTGCTTGGTGCATGTAGGATACATCAAAACATTGAGATGGGAGAAGTGGCAGCAAAGAACCTTTTCCACTTAGATCCTAATCATTCAGGTTATTACATTCTTTTATCAAACATATATGCTCTTTCAGAGAAATGGGTTAATATGGAAAAAATTAGAACTTCAATAAGGGAGAAGGGGTTGAAAAAGATGTTTGGACTGAGTGTGATTGAGATTGGGAATGAAGTGCACAGTTTTGTTGCAGATGATAAATTCCACCCTGACTGTGAGCAGATTTATGAATTACTGAGACAGTTGGAGATGAAAATGAGATCAGGAGTGAAACTGTTTCATGATGCTGAATTCTATTTTGGGGCCTGACTCAATGCATACCTCATAGCTTCACTTTTCTTTTTTTTAGTTATATCACTCAAACTGTCCCTGAGAATGATATTGGTTTCAACTGATAAAATGGCTATATATGCCAAGAGTGCAATGGTTGAGAGCTGTAGAATTCATGGGTGTGAAGGAAAGAAACTGAGCTTCCCAAAAGATTTGGTGACAGCATTGATGAGGCCAATTATGCAACCTCCACTTGCATTATTTCTACTTGTAACCATGCAAGGGCTTTTGGAGTATTGTAAATTGGTTGGGAAAGGAGTTTGTTATTGCATTAGAACTCGTGGTAAATAATCTTCTCATGTGAACATGGTATGTTATTCTAGTTTTGCTGAATTGAATGTGAGTCCAACTTCTAATTTCTTGGTGTAAATGTACTTTCAGCTAACTAGCTGTGCTTCTGTTTATTGTGCATTATTGCATAGCAGGCATATGCCTAGGCACTGGAAGACACTGCTATAAGGAAAATCGACTTCAAGCTAGTGAATCTTCCATGGACCTGAATGCAAGGCCTGAAGGCTGTAACTATTTGAGCATATGCAGTCAGTTGAGCCAGACGTTCACGAAGATATCGCCCTTCATATACTCAATGCAGAGATCAAAAGAAATATTGGGTGAAGATTGCTTGTAGTTTAAGCCCCAAAGGTGTATTTCAGGGCAAGGAGGCATCATACACGTGCCATCTAACAAGTTCATTCCTTCCCTTACAGGCGCAAGGATTTTTTTGGGCAAGGTATTGAAAATTTATGCAGATTGCTTTTACCATATTACTTGTTTTTTTTCCTTGCCAATTACTATTATGTCAAAGTATGAAAGGAAAAGGAAAAATAAGAGGGGAATTAGCTTGCAAGAAATCATCATGAAAATTTGTAGATGGGATTTCCTTGAAGACAATGCAGCTGCATAAAAGTAAAGGAGTGAAATTTTGCTTGAGTAAAATTACTTAATGGTCCCAATTTCATCAAATTTATCAATTTGTCCCAATTTTCCATGTTTCATTTTTGCATTTATTCCTTCCATTGGATCTGGAGGCTTGGTTCAGCTACAGAGACATGTTAATTGGGAAGGAACTTGCACATTCTCCAATTTTAACAAAATTTGTAATTAATTAGTGTCACGAACGGATGTTAATTTGGATAAGCTCAAATCTGTTGGGATCTTGAATTGAGAATTTCTGTACATTCAAAGGCCAATGCATGGTGTTCTACAAGAAATTCTTCTTTTTTTATGTAAATCTTTCCATTTCAGGTACAAGGGCAAGTTTATAAAGGTAGTTTACTAGGGGAGTTAATATGGTCTTGTAGGAATTTTATTAAGAAGTTGAAATTGAATATCGCCTTCAATAAAAAGGATAAATGATTAGGGTTTCCTCAAAAAAAAAAAAAGAAGAAAGGATAATTGATTAAGGTTAAAGAGACTCTCCCTCCCCTCCTTTCAAATCAAAAATAGCCTTTAGAAAAGATGAAATCAAAAAATAAACAGAAACTTAATAATTTTTAAAAGTAATGATATAATATAAACAGACAAACAACTAACAATGGCAAATCTTACTTTTTGTCAGAAACCAAACCAATAATATGCATGCAACACATGTCTTTTGCAAACATTAAAAACTTAAAAGATGATGCCCACAATAATAACTCCCAACAAACCCGTACCATTTTCAAGAGTCATCTTTTTGGCCCTTAAGCAATCCCTACATAATATTATTTATACCACCATAAA